GTCATCACCCGAAGACGATTGTAGATACCAACAATCGAAACGTCGTGAACTAACGTGACTTGGAATCTCTACACTTTTTTATTTTTTATTATTTTCTTTTTTGCATTCCTTTAATTTTTATTTATTCAATTATTATATTTTTACTTGTAGGTTATTTCACTATCATTTCATTTCAGGTTTATTGTTGCTTAATATAATTGTTATTTTCAACTATTCTTTTTTAATTATTCTTTTTTACTTGTTTCAGGGATTTCAAATCATTTTATATAGTAGACAATGGAAGTCCGAACTAGTGAAATTCAGGAGTTCTTGAGTTCAGTGCATTAAATCACAGGGTTTAATGCACGTTTAACGTTTGTTTGAAGGTTATTGACAATGTTTCATGATGAATTTTATTATTTCTGACTTCCATTGTCTGATATTATATTAAATGATTCGAAATCCCTGAAAGAACAAATAAAAAAGAAGAATTAAAAATTAATAGCTGAAAATAACAAATATATTGACCAAAAAAACCTGAAATGAAATGGTAGTGAAATGAAAAACAAGTAAAAATAGAACAATCCACAATCGTCTTCGGGTGATGACTGGACTAATTCCTACGAGAGATAACTATTTATACGTCAGTCGAGTACTTTCACTTATCTCCACTTTCCTTTTTTCGCCTCAACGGTTTAGTGGGAGATGACCGTTTGGCGGGAGATGGCCATTTTTTGCTTGTACATGGGTTTTCATATGTTGCCTATCTCTACTCTAGCTTGACTGAATACATTGTTGGACAACATGTATGCGGCTTCTTTGAATTTCCTTCTAAACCAATGTTCCTCCTTGTTTATGATCTCAGCTTGGGACCACTCGATGTTTTGTTGGTGGGTCCAAGCATGCTCTGCTATTCCTGATTAGCTGGTTTCCCCCCGCTGTGTGTATTTCTTGTCTTGTGCTCGGTAATGCGAAGATTCAATGGCCTCTTAGTTGCACTGATATAGGATTTTCCGCACTCACAAGGTATCCGGTAAATGCAATTCCTCAACGGAACGGCTACTCCAAAGTGATAGTGGAACAGACTTTGGCTAAAAGATAGCAGGAGCCTCGCAAGGAAGAGAAGCCGCCACAACCAGTGCTTGCGCTTCCCTACATCAGAGGATTATCGGATAAGATAAGAAGAATTGAATACAACATTAGAACCTGCTTCAGATCCGGAAACATTAACCGTAGCAGCCTCACGAAAACCAGGTGAAAACGCGGACTACGATTCAGACCCATAAATTGTCATCTCTCGGAGGAATTAGTCTAGTCATCACCCAAAGACGATTGTGGATACTAACAATCGAAACGTAGTGAAGTAACTTGGCTTGGAATCTGTTATATTTCCATTTTTATTTTCATTTTCTGTTGAAATGTTCTATTTTCACTTGTATTTAATTTCACTATTATTTAAATTCAGCTATTCATTTTTAATTCTTCGTTTTTATTTGTTCTTTTAGGGATTTCAAATCAATTTATATAATATGACACAATGGAAGTCCGAAATAATGAAACCCTGTATTTTGCTATTTCTCCTATTGAAGCATTCATTGGAAAGTGTGGAAAATTTCGGAACTTTGACACTCTGATTTCTTTTTGTAGTTAAAATTTAGTTTAAACTCTGATAATTATTTATTATTTTAATTCATTCATTATTCATGCATTCATCTCATTCAAACCTTGTCAAGTGAACCGCAATCCTTGTTTTGTTGGTATGCTTGAAGTCTGGGCCGTCGCCATAGGGGTGGATGGGGGGAGCCTCCCCCCTGCTTTTTCGACTTGGGAAAAAGTTGGGAACTTTTGGGTCGTGAAGATAAAAAAAATAATAGTAAAAAAATGAATGAAAATCATAAAAATAAAAATGAGAAAAGAAAAGGATAGGTAACAAGAAAATGGAAAGAACCGGGAGAAGGTTGGGATTTCCCAACATGCATAACTTGGAGACCCCATACTTTGAAATTCTGAGTTGTTTGAAAACTTCAAAAAAGTTTAATTTCTCCCAAGTAAGAGAACAGTCCT